GGTAATATCAATATCAAGAAATGCCCACTTAGTGATACGAATTTTGTTAAAGACGTGAAAATTATATCCTGTAATGTTCCCTGTGAAATGTGAATTGAGACGTCCTCCCAAGAAAATACTAGAGGCTTAAAGATCGGATATTAAATTATGCCGGAGAGGTCGGCTTTTTGTCTTAGATGAAGCACCGGGCCACGACAATTCAAAACCAAAAATTACTGTACAAGAAAATTAAAATGATTAATTAATAATTAAATGAAAAATAAGCAATTCCTTTTTCTCGGTAAGCAGTGAAAAATAGTAATCACTGAAAATGTTAATAAATAATTATTCAGCTGGAAATATAAATTCGTGGCAGCCTGCTTAGCGATTAAGTCATGGACAACTTTTCTTTTTCTCTGGAAAAAAAAAAAAGGGAATGAAAATGTTGGTCAAAATCAAAATCACTTTGAAAAAAGACAGGTATTGACACTTGTCATTTACTAATTGATTGGCTTTTGTTTTGCCCCAAAAACTTGCTCTAAAGTACAACAGGTACAACCACAGCCACTTATGGAGCGCCCTCCCGTTCTTTTTTAATCCTTGTTATACCGACGGTTAAAACTGCCGCTACGCCTTCCGTCCTTCCCTCCAATTCCTTCTCCACCGTTCGCGGCGGGCCCCCCATCTAGTCCTTGTCTCCATATCCTTTTTCTTTTCTTCAAATTACTACTTTTTAAACATATTTTAAGGACACAAGTGCCCTTCCATTTTTAAACAACTATCAACTTATTAATTTTTCAGGATCTTAAAAGAGATTGAGTTGTGAGGATATCTTTTGTTTTGATTTACTAATCATATTGATAGATTTGGCTCTATGCTTGGTGACCTAATTTGTTATCTTTATGAAATAATTAAATTAATTGCCACTCATACGTTTAGGATTAAATGAATCCCCAAACTGGGAAGATACAAGTTGAGGAAGATTAGTTAAATAGCCAGGCCAAATTGGGGCTAGTGCATCATACAATTAGAATATATAAAATAAATTAGAAACTTGTGGAAAGGGAATAGTGTTTGCCGTGAAAATAACGTGAACAGTTAATATATAAGACCCGTGCTAAACATGGAAGCTAAACCCCCCCCCCCTTTCCGGGGGGAAGTAAAGGAAGTGGCTTCGACTTTTGCAATGTCCCCTATGCCATATCACCCCTTTATCTACGCCCAATGCGCAATTATTCCAAACTTTACTTTTCATGCCGGCTTTTAAAAGCATCGACCTTCTTTTTCCCTTTCATTTTATTAAGACAAAAATTTGAAAATACAGAACAAACAATCTTTTTATTCATTGATGATCAATAAGGAGGAAAGTGGGGTTTTTAGTTGAAACTGAGTCTACTGTACAAAAGGGATTTACTTAAATAAATTTCATAGGAATAATTATAATATGAATTCATTAATCTTGCCAATAAAAGTTAATCTAGTGAGTAAAAATATAACTTACCATTTATCAGAACGTGTATTCAAAATCTATCAATGATGGGAAACATGTTACTAGTAATATGTAATTTTTTAAGCGTGGTTCTAAGCTATGTAAATTTAATTTGTTTTAGAATTTTTTAAGACAAAAAAAAAAGGACAGGAATAAAAAAATGTGAAAGGACAATGCAAAGTGGGAGAGTAGTGGATAAGAAGGAGAGAAGCAGAGTCGTTGTGGTTCATGGAAGAGAAGGCGTAGGGGACAAGTACGGCTGCTATGTTACCTCTTCCACAGCCTCATCCTCTTCGCATCTCAATATCTCTTTAATTTATGCTTTCTTTGTTTTTTTTAATCTCAATTATTGTCTTTCCTTCTTTCTTTTTTAAATGTAACTTCATTAATTATCATTAGTATCGTTGTTATCTGCGCTTTCATCTGTTGACTGATTTCTTCAGGATCGTGAAAACTCCAAAAAAGAGAACAAATATTATCAGCGGGGAAGCCCATAACTTTATCATGAACTCCAACGGGAAGTTGGGGGGGGGGGGGGAGCTCTTTCTAAAAGTTAGGCAATAGAAAATAGTAATATGACCATGATTACATACTCCTCTCCCTATAATAATATAAATTATTTAAACTAATTCATCAGTATTAAAAAATAAAAAATTATAGTTAACTCATTAGTTTGGTCAAGAGTCTGAACCAAATCTATCTCTTTTCAAAAGTAATCTAATATGTTTTCTAAATCGCGAGCACCAAATTATTATGATTTTTTGAGTGATTAAATTGACATTAATTTTGAAATGGATATAAATCATGTTGAATGGCTATTTTTCTTACATAACAGTAGTTCGAAAACTGTTGATCTTGTTATTTTCTATCTTATGATCTTATTTTAAAACAATGTTCATATATTATAATGCAAGAGCTTCCTTATTTTATATGGGTTAAAAAAATAGATAAGTTAGTCATTTACTACAAGAATGTGTGCTAATTCACCCTAATATACGAAGATAATTACCAAAGGTAGTTCAAAAATTCATCAAAATAAGAGCTCATGATGAATGGAAGGGAAAAGTAACCGTGTGAACATAACTGGGGTCAGCTCCAAGCAATGAGAGGGTCAAAGTAAACGCCTGATTGACGTGGGCATGGGCAATCCACAGTAGAGATTATCTATCCAGATAATTCCAGAGGCATTGCTAATAACTTCTAGAAGATAGCTGCGTCTTTTAACATCAAACGCCGCCTTGTTGTCAAAATCATAGTCAGTAATGTTGATTAATTATTAATTAATTACTAAAACTTGCTCTCTGTCTCATAACAATAGCTCCCCCGACGTGGTCTATTGATTCATATTACTGACAAGGGACTTCTAAGATGGCAGTTATTATTAATATCAAAATAACAACATGATTTCTTATCTTCTCCTTATCACAAATTCACAATGCTTTGCCAACCGCCTCTGCACTTATAGTTATATTTTAATAAATTAACGTCATTGCTGATTTTTATAGTTTGATCCAATTTTGATTATGATCCTTATAGTTTTAGATAGTTGGTTTTGGTCGTTATGATTTTATGGGGACTTATCAGAAGTTTAAATGTATAAACCATATGTTAAACTCAAATTAGCTACATCTATTAAACCCTCACGAATTTAAACCCACACGAGAACGCAACGCCAAGAGTCAATTAACTAATTGAAACATGTGACGACTTGATTCATTGTTTAATGAGCAAATTATTTCTTATTTTTGAAATATCAAAGTGATGGAGTAATCCTTTGAATGAGTAAAAGCATATGACTTGTGCAGCAGATATACCCATCTCTCTTCGTCACGCACCTACCACCTGTGCGCAACTTTTCTTGCAAGCAACATGCTTTCTTTCTTTCTTTTTTTTTTTTGGTCAAGCAACATGCTTTCAGATATTCTTCAATGACCACACCTGCATCTCCATTTGATTCTGGAACCTTATTAATTACCTTAATCCAATATCTCATCAAGCCACCTCTTAATTTCATTGTAAATTTCACAGGAATACTCATATATAATATTAGATTATATACTAGTTTATAGGTTAAGTAAATTAAATTGATAAAAATGATAAATACAAAAAATAAAGTGGACATTGATGTATTTTATTAACAGCTATATATTTAATCCTGTCAGGTATTATGGTCAGCATCATGCTTGAAGGCAACAAAATGGTTTGGTTGATATTTCATTAAGGTCAAATGTGCTGTGATGCATGCATTCACGCATAGTATGCTTTTTAATTATTATAATCTTTAATAAACACGCCAGGAAAAAAACACGGGCAAATTTTCAAGCAACAGATTAGAACATAAGCTAAGAACTTTCACAAATTAAAAAAAAAGAGTGGAAAAACTGTTTTTAAACGACGGAAAAAAAAAAAAGAAAAACTGTTTTGAACGCATGTAATAATCTCTAAGCTGATTTAAGGAGTTCATGATAAATTTATAAATATAAACACTCGCGCCTTAAGATAAACAATCCTGGTTGAATTTCTCATAAAATTCCTAATCCTAATCAACCCAACCGAGATCGCTTGATTTGGTGGGAATAATTTTAATTTTGAACTATAGCTCTTTGCGAATTTTATAACTTCCTTTTTTTTTTTTTTCACTTGCATAAATCTTCCGATTAAACACGACTAAAAATTTAAAATCTTCGTGTCAAGCAAGCTATAGATCAATTTGATATTCTTTTATCCAACAAATACCTTTTTATTTACTTAAAAGAATATTGCGTGTGATGCGGGGTACGCAGGACATCTATGTAAGACTCCACCAGTTATTTGTTGTTTTGCTGACCTCTTTTAAGTCTTTTTGGTGGAGAGGAGACTGATAGAACTTTGTTCGCATCTCTCAATCTATAAAGAGAGAGAGCCCTTTTATCAAAATAATAATAATAATAACAATGATAATAAAACAGAAAAAAGAAAAAGAGAAGAAGCCACAGAAGACTTGCCTTCTCACTTTTATAGTTCATGACATGGAATTTGTGATCAATTTCAGTATTCTTTTTTTCGGCCTGAGATCAATTTCATTATTCGAAGAGTACGTACGAAATTCGACGCCTAGCAACTTGCAACACTAGGGCGCACTGCAAGTTGGGGCCTGGCGGAGACTAAGAGGCCCGACTCGTCTTGTCACAGCGTATTTTTTGTTATGGGCTGTGGGCCGGCCAATACATAAACTTCGTTCATTTGGGTTGGGCTTATTGGCTGGCCCAAAATTTTGGGATGTAGTGAGAATTTTGCATTAAATACTTTAAAATAGCATGCTTTTTCTATTTTCTATTTGATGACTGTGTGTCTTAGAAGATCAGAACACCTGAGCAACTTTAGAAAACAATATTTGACTGGATCAGGAGGGAGTCAAAATTTGAAGATTGAGAAAGGGCCCCACCGGAAAAACCGACCATTGGCGGGACGCCCGGGCCCGCTAAGCTGCTGAGTCACCGAAAGGCCGAAGCACAATAAAACACGAACTACCATAACCCCCCATGTAGCAGCATCATTTCCCACCGTTACGTGAAAATTGAGGTGAGCTGTCCCTCTCGTCCCCTACCATTACCATTCCTTTCTTAATTTTCCCGGCAACGCGCACTCAAAAACCCTAATTTCCCATCTTCACCACCACCACCCTACGAAGCTGCTCCTCATTTCCCCAATCCATTCAATCTTGCTCCGCTCTGGCCGATACACATTCTCTTTGAAGTTCCTGCCTTTAACTTTCTCGATTGCCTAGGATCTGCTTTCTGCATTTGGGTCCTTTGATGGCGGAGGACCGCAACGGCGATAAGAATGAAAACAGTGATTACAGTTCAGAGGACGAAGGAACTGAGGATTACAGGCGAGGAGGTTACCATGCCGTTCGAATTGGGGATACTTTCAATAATGGGTTCTATGTGGTGCAGGCCAAGCTTGGTTGGGGTCATTTTTCTACTGTCTGGCTTGCTTGGGACGTCCAGAGATCGGTAAGTGGCATTGTCGTTGTTTGCTATCCTGACAAAACCAAGCAATGGTTTTGAGCATAAGTTGAATTTTGTGGGAAAATGAACGAACACTGGGGAAAGCTAATCTCCCATTTTATTGCGCTTTCTAGTTTATTTTCCCTCTGTCAGGACTCACTTTAATGAAACGCCTTTCTTTGGTGATTGAATATAAGGTTTAAGTTGTTCTGCATCGGTCAGATTGCTTGCTTTCAAAAGGGTTCATTCACAGTCAACTTCTCAATGTTTTGGTTTTGTTTCCGCATTGATTGTTACTCTCTCCGGTAGCAGACAACTTTTCGATACTTTTTCATATTCATTCTGGCTGCCTAGTTGCCATTTATTATTCCTCTTTGCTCTTAAATATATGACCTATTTTATGGTGTAAATTACACTACAAAATGGGTCTTGTATTTAGGACCGGAGGAATATTTGCTCGATCCTTGGTAACATCTAGCAATATCTATTGTGTATCATTAAATTTCCTGTAAATAGACGTCATCTTCTGGACTGTTATCCTTTCATGTTGTGAGAACCTTTACAACACATGTACTTAAATCTAATGTTTATCTCACACTGATGGGAAAAATCTTTGTCTGTAGCGTTATGTGGCCTTGAAAATTCAAAAGAGTGCTCAGCATTATACTGAAGCTGCCATGGATGAAATAAAGATTCTTAAACAGATTGCAGAAGGGGACCCAGATGACAAGAAATGTGTTGTAAAGCTTTTGGATCACTTCAAGCATTCTGGTCCTAATGGTCAGCATGTATGTATGGTATTTGAATTTCTGGGTGACAATCTTCTGACACTTATCAAGTATAGTGATTACAGAGGGGTTCCTCTCCCCATGGTTAAAGAAATTTGCTACCATATTTTGGTGGGCCTGGATTACTTGCATCGAGAGCTTTCCATAATACATACAGATTTGAAGCCAGAGAATGTCTTGCTTCTGTCTATGATAGATCCGTCTAAGGATCACAGAAAGTCAGGTGCCGGACTCATTCTTCCTAGCACCAAGGACAATTCTGTATCCAGGAATGAGGTCACAAAAGATAATGTTAATTTGAATGGAAATCTGAGCAAAAACCAAAAGAAGAAAATGCATAGAACGGCTAAGGTTGATAATGAAATTATTGAGGGGGCAGGGGGTTCTAAAGATCATGATCAAGAAGATTCTAGCAATGATCTAAAATCGAACTCTGAATCTGTTGAAGATAAATCCAGTAGTTCGGTGGGTAAAGATGAACCAACAAAGATTGTCGAAACTAAGGATGTTCCGCAGGGAAGTCAGAGTCAGAGGAAAATCAGCCGTTCCATGAGAAAAAAGTTGCTTGCAGCTGTTGATCTAAAGTGCAAACTGGTTGATTTCGGAAATGCTTGTTGGACTTATAAGCAATTCACAAATGATATTCAAACGAGGCAGTATAGATGTCCTGAGGTTATTCTTGGATCTAAATACTCAACGCCAGCGGATTTGTGGTCTTTTGCTTGCATTTGCTTTGAGCTGGCCACTGGTGATGTTCTTTTTGATCCTCATAGTGGTGACAACTATGATAGGGATGAGGTAAGTGCCCACATTTTGGACTACAATTGTTAGTTGTCTTCAGATTTGTGCTATCACAACTACCTTGTTTTAGAACTATTGTCTAACCTAAAACAAAGGTAGATCGTGTTCTTCAGGAAAAGAAAAGGTCCAATAATGTGATTCGTTTCTTCGAGCTTCAACCTCTGATTCAATGAATGAATTCCAACAGTAATAATTTATTTTATTTACTTATTTTACTTTACAGGATCATCTGGCATTGATGATGGAACTTCTTGGAATGATGCCTCGCAAGGTAGGATTGTGGGGACTTTATGCTCCTCACTGAAAATTATAAACTATCAATTTGCATATGATGTGTTGAATAATCAGTTTAGTAGTTTTACAGCAACTCATTGTGAAGTAATCAGTATAACTTTGCCCTCTCTTCTGCTAAAACTAAACAAATATTTAATTCAGATTGCACTAGGGGGCCGCTATTCCCGGGAATTTTTCAATAGATATGGTGATCTAAGGCACATTCGTCGGTTGCGGTTCTGGCCTCTTAATAAGGTGCTTATAGAGAAGTATAATTTCAGTGAGCAAGACGCAAAAGACATGACAAACTTCCTCATTCCCATACTTGATTTCGTCCCCGAAAATCGGCCAACAGCTGCTCAGTGTCTTAGTCATACCTGGTTCAGTGCTGGTCCTCGGATTCTTCAGCCCTGTTCAACTACCGTGCAACCTGAGGCCATCGAGGAGGGAATGTCTGAAGAAACAAAGCGGGATAAGGCTGAGCAGGAAGCTGTGGAAGTTGGTGTGGGCAATATAGCCATTGATGGCACTCCAAAGCCACTCAAGAAGTCCCAGTCTGTCAAGTGACAAATTTATATGCAGGTTCTACATGCAACCTGGTTCGTTTCTGTGTTAAAATATACTGGTCCTTGGGTCACAACATATTTTTTCGTCCTTTGTGCAATACCGCTCATATCTCAAGGTCTTCGTGCGGTAAGCCCTTAATGGAGCGAGGGCGGCTGAATGTCTGCCTGGAATCTGAGATTTCGGAACGTCTGAACTGAAATACCACTTCCTTCGTCTATAATGGATCAAGCGCACAATATTGTACAATTTTTTATTTTTGGGGGTTTTTTTAGGATAGTTTGTTTGAAATTTCTTCCTAGATTAGATTCTCGTCTGTCAGAAATGCTGCAGTTGAGGGGTTAAAATTGTACATTTGAATGAGTCGGTCCTTCATTTCTAAATCGGATATTGTAGCGATATACTTATCACGATGTTTTTGGTTTCTAATATTTGGCATTGTTGCCATATTCTGTTCCGTTACACTTATGATCAAACGCCACTTTTGAAGATAACTTCCGAAGAATCACTGGGTTCTTGCTCATAAATGCAATGCTATTCTCGTGAAGATATAGGATCAAATAATATGCAGGCCTTATTTGACCAAGTGTTTGAGCAATGCGTGGCCATGTAACATTACGGGAAAGTTGATTCCTTGATGCTATCAATGAGGAGCATGTTCTTGCACATACAAGCCGAGCGAAGTATAAGAAAACAAATGTATGAATTATTTCTCAACGAATGGCTTCCGGAAACTCACAAGATCTCGACTTCATAGCCACTGTGACCTCTCAGAAGCACTAAAAAATTGTTTATGCGCTTCGACTTGTAGACAATACGCACAATCTACAGTCGCAAGTCACGTCACGCGCCAGAAATCCATAATGGATCACATTCGAGTGCCATGATGATATTAATCGGGTGCTGAATTTCTTTATATTTGGTTCTCACCTGCAATATGATCAAATGCATTTCAGATTCTGAGAACTAAAACACAATTGTGATTATAGAAAAGACTTAGTTTTAAGGCTATTTCAAGTTTTCAACTATTTTGGTTAAAGGAACTATTTTAATAATACCATTGAAGGAGATCCATGATTCCCTGCCACGTCTTCAAGTTCATGAAAGTTAAATAAATATCAAATGGCAGTTTCAGCGCGGCATTGCGGGTAAACATGCAAAAAAGTGAAAAGCTTTCTTACCTAATTTCGCGGTCTCTCGCAGTCAAAATATTTTCCTTGCCTTGAGATAGGAATACATAAGAAAGAAGGCTACAACCGCACCAACTATAATCCCAGCTGTTGTCAGCCAAAATGCATACTGCATCATAACCAAAAAATATGGTCATTTCAACAACCCCAATTGACTACCACGAACGAGAACGGTCAAACATATCAATGCGTGTAATAAAACATCCACAACTCACATACCACACGTTGTTCAAGATAGGACTTCAGATTCATGCCAAAAATACCTGCAATTTAGAGATTATATCTTGACATTAACTAAAGAACAGGTAATGAAAAAAAGGCTCTCTCAGCAAATAAAACAGTTCCTTCCATGCGACAATTATTCACGGCAAACCCCCCCCCCCAAAAAAAAGAAAAGAAAAGGATTCAAGATAACCGCTCAACCTTGCTAACATTCCATTTTTTTTTTTTTGTGGATATTTTTTGCTAACATTCCATTCCATTTAATACCACAATTTAAACTTCTTACATAGTAAATTAGTTAGCAAAAAAAAAAAATACACCTGTTATAAGGGCACCAACGGCCAAACAGAATGCCCCCACCTGAAGAAGTAGTTCCACTCTGCTAACCTCAAGCCTCCTTGAGCTGATGAAAGAAATTAATTTTATTAAAACACGCAAGATTGATTACAAATATGGTTCTTGACATAAATAACTTTTTTTTTACAAGCCAACACAGTATTTTATCGATAAATGATTTTTAAAGCTAAGCTAAACCATGGTTCAGTTTATGCATGTGTTTGGAAGAAACTTTGTCTCGTACTGTCTCAGAAAGGAAATCTGAGTAGTTCTCTAATTTCGAAACATCATAGCAGCAACACAAGATTTTGTCCATTCTTGATTGTTGGGTACTTCTGAATGCACTTTTAACCTCTTGATCTGTCTTCTCTTGTTTAACTTTGCCATAATGTTAAATCCAAAGTTGGCCAGTGCAGGAACAAACTCAGATAAATCCAAATTACTGCCTTGTTCCTAGTTATAGGGCAAAAGTTAACTAATTTGCAGATACGAATTTAACTAACTTAACTGACTGACTAGCACAACAGTGGCTTCATCATAAAACTAAGTGATCTCCCATGTCATAGGAACTACTTTTCAGTCAGCTGCAAAAATTTAGCAGTTCTCCAGAAAGGGGAGGACTGTGATGCAGAGAAAGGGAGATGATATCAAACCTTAGACTGACAGATATAGAATCTTCCATTTCTCTGGCGGAATCTAGAAGCCTTTCAGCTTGGCCATGGCAAGATTCACATCTGCAAATATGCAATCTTCAGAGCCCATAAACATACAAATCAATTATGAAATGTAATGCTCAAAATAAGATAGAGAATAACCTTTGAAGGTAATTTTCTAAAAGCATCTCGATTTCCTCCTGTTCCTCTACATATATAGTGAGAAACAAAATTGAAATTGCCATCAACTCATAAATCATCTATAGTCAGATCAATACTACGACAGTAACTGAAATAAAGACCTTTAAATAATAGCTTACCCTCAGCAATCTGCTTTTCTGAGGCTACTGAGCATTCTACATTGTCATGTCCTTTCTTAAGCATGCAGTTTCTTCCCATAATACACATACTCTGTATTTCAAGAGGGTCCTCCAGGAGGTCAAGAAGCATTTGCCTGAGAGCTCCTGCCCTCGAACCTAACTCAACCTAGCAATTTGGCAACGTCGCAAATGATGACTGCAGCCCATGTTGCATTACCATTACAATCTGAAGACAGGTAACTTCTTGAAAGGAAAATACAAATAAAATACCAATGTTTGTTTGCTGATACGAAGTTCCTCCAATATATTGCCAGTTAGTCGGTTCGGCAAGACCTCAAGAAGAGCTTGAACCTGGGAAACAGGAGATAAACTAGTTATTTTTACTCAGGAAGTTAAAAGAGAGCAGGAGATCAGCATAGACATACAATTACTCACTATGTTCACATACTCACACGAGGTTCTAAGTGCATCAGTTTCTGTTCTAAATGCTGGATTCTTGAAAGAAGTGCTGCTTCAACAACCTGAAAGTGAGAGATTCAGCACTTATCATCATGCTAAAATACATAACAATAACATTTAAGCGCAGAAGCCTACATTAGAAACTGACAGCAACTCTAGTACTTTGGTATACAGACGAACCTCAAGCTCAAATAGCATGGATGGTCCTCCATTGTTGTTCTTAGGGTTTAACCGAGGCAGTAATGACTCTAAAAAAGCTTTCCCTCCTTTACTGCTAAGCATCAAAGGAGGCAGGTGTTCGTTCTCATGTACATAAATAATGACAGTGAAGCAGCACATAATAATTAAACAAGACATCTCAAAAGGTTAATATTACCAGTTATAGTTAAATATAAGTACACGCTCCTGCATTGCTATTGCCCGTAATGAACCCAAATTTAGAAGAATAGCATGCTCACGAACCTAATACAAGAAGCAGAAATTTGATAAATAAATGAGATCAAAGAGTGTTGTCAATTTACTAGATTTCTTAACAGCAAACGCATAAGTAGAGTAAACCTCCCCTACATTATGTAAATATAGACAAAACTTACTTAAAGCCATGATCAAAACAACCTTAAGGATACTCAGTTTCTTTTACCTTAAATTATAACATCAGAAAATATTTTTGAAATTTTTTATTATTAATTTTGATTTGAAAACCCAATTTTATTAAGTAATCGACTAATATATATGTGTGCGTGTCTACACATTATATCACGGAGGTAATACACACACACAGGTATTTTAGTCAAAATGAGTATAATCTTTTTTTTTGGCCAAAAGAAAGTGTATTTCCAACCTATAATCTGTGCTAGGGAAGTCAATGAATTGCATCTTTCGACTTAAAAGAAGGCAAGTTTAATTTTTCAAAACAGAGGGAGAAAGTAATTTGGGTATGATTTTATGCTATAATTGATCAAAAAATAAAAAATTTGAAGTTGAATTTCTGAATAATGCAGTATCAGCTAATAATTCAACTTTTCAAAAATAACTGGACCTTCCCCTTCATATTAACTTCCAAGTGACTCGTGTACCAATCACATTAACGATTGTATTGTTAAAAAACATAGCATAGCGAGGGAATTAACACTCAGCTTATCACATTGTAAGAGTTCTAACTGAAAAATAATTAGAAGAACTGAACATCAATATGTGAGTGTATCAATATATATAATATATAATGAACTCTATAGCAAGTTCCACTATTACTAAGATATGAATACCGCAAAAGTGTACCAGCAAAGAAGGCATTGAATTTGTCAAAAACAGTGAAGGATCCACACTTCGAACATCTCGTGGACGAAGACCTGGTAATAGAATACTCGCAAAACAGAGCAGTACAATTAGATGATATAAACATATCAATGAAAAAAGAGATATATTATGCTTTGGAGGGTTTAATGGATTCCATAACATCACACATACACAATGTAAAGGAGAAGTCTATTGGGTGCAATGAACCAAAAAATAAAAAAGGTTACGGTAATTGCAATTACTTTACTTACAGAGACATGTACAATTTTCTGTAATGCAATTTCGATAAAGTTAAGCAAGCGAAACTTTAACATGAACAAAACGCCTTTTAAGTAACATGGCACTTTCCAAGTTCAGGCATAGAATTCCATACCACTTGACTTCAACAGCTGTCTTCTGTTGATTGCTCTAGTTGATACCGTTCCATTAGAATTCACCTCCAAAACCTTCACACAGAAAAAATTGAAAGGGGCCAAAAAAAAAAATCACGTGAAGAAATCAAATGGAGCTAGAAAACCGTCCTGGCGATCCAAAAAAACTCACTAGACACATCTATATTGTCCTGTTTATAATAATTCTGACACTTCCCATTGAATCTCATTTTACCAAGAAACACCTTAAAAAGAATATTAAGAGTAAACCAAGAAGATGAATCCTTGCAAATCGGGACTACATAAACCACTCGTCGCATGTTACATCTAACGGTTCACCCAAATTATTACTTCACGCTAACTATAATTCCAGAATTGAGAAAGAAAAACTGGTGGTTGGTAACAATTAACAACAGACCTCATAAACTGGTTCTCGAATTCCAAGAGAGAAAGAATCTCCTGACGAGGTGGAGACCGGTCTCTGTGCCTCATTTGTCTCGTCATGCCTGGCTTCGCTGGAATAAGATAAGACAGTTTCTCCCGAAGTTCGCTGCTCCTCCCCCGTGGATTTGGCGGAGCATTGGACTTGAAGTCTGGACCTCAAAAGCCTGGTTGTGAGGGTAAATGGAAGCTCAACGGAGATGCTGCTTCGGTGGACCAAAGAAGAAGATGTGGGACATAGCATGTCACCAGAGCGAGCTAGGGTAAGATCGGAGAAGATGGAGTAGGTGGAAGGTGAAGAGCGAGAAAGAAGCAGGCGGGACCAAGTGAAAGCCATATTGTACTGTGGCTATGGTCGTGATGATCATGTAGAATGCAGGCGAGAATGGAAGCTCAAAGTAGCGTTGCGTAAACAGCAAAGCTAAACGAAGATTTACTTATTTCGACACAGTCATTATATTTGGATTTATCATTAACAGATACAAGCCAACAGGTTCAGAAGGAGGGAGGGAAAAGAGAGAGAACAGACGAAGAAGAGATTAGTGGCTGCAATTTACCTTCGGTCGCTCAGTCTTGTTGAGTTATCGTTTTCCAAATGTCGATATAAGCTTGACGCGTGGCAAGTCCGATTGCTACCTTTTGTATAATCGTTAGGGTCATTTTATTAGTCAAACAATTAATTATAAAAAATCTATATATAATTCTTCTTTTTTTCTCCATCCGGTCTGTAAAATGTTTCCAACAATTTTACACCTTTACGCTTTTTTTTTGAAAAAAAAAAAACTTCGGGTAATTACAAAAAGAGAGAGAGAGGAAATTTCAGGTGAGAAAAATTTAGAGGAAGGCTTACGGAATGTGAGAAAAGTGCAAAATTTTGTCCAAAAAAACGGAAAAGTGCAAACTTCCTGAAAAGGAACAAAATATTTCTAAAATATGGGCTTAAAACCATTAAGCCGAGCTAAATATTCAGAAAGAATAATTGAGGTCAAAAAAGAAATACTCCTCCGGTCCTTAATATAAGACCCATTTAACTAATTTGATTAGATTAAAGAAGTTAGGTAAGTTAGTTAATTATAAGAAAAGTGACACATTTTTCCTAAAACACCATAATCATATTTTTTAATACCCCTTTCCCTCTTCTACTTGATTATGATTGAGGGAGTATCCATAAGGGTAATTTAGAGAAAATTGATAAATATGAAAAATAGTTCTTATATTTAGGACCAAAATCAATTCAAGAATTAGATCCTATATTAAGGACCGGAGGAGTACTACTCAGAAAAAATAAAAGAGAAAGGACAAATTATCTGTAGATGAATGCGCGCCTATATATACACTGTCTTGTTAGTTAATAAAAAATCTTATTTAATTTTTATTTTAATTTTAAATATAAATTTTAATGTATTTATATTTTTTTAAAATAATTCTTCTAATAAATAGTAATAGTTCTAATTAATATACTAAAAATATTTTTAAAAAATTAATATTTATTTATTATAAATAACTAATTTAATTTATTTTTTTAATCTTTTTAAATTACTGGTTAGAAAAAAAAGTGTTAGGAAGAAAAGGCATATAAGATTAATATGGGAAGAAAGGGAAGCTAAATGTATTTCACTTCCCCGGCAGCCGTGAAAGCTATAATCAGTTCTTGGGAAATTGGAGGGAACAACCGAGAGTGATGGCGGTCCGGTCTGGTTTCACTATCGAAGAGGGTGAACATCAACAAGAAGAGTTTGTCGGTCCGACGCACCATCCATCTGCGCCTCTTGATGAGGTTAGCACCTTCACGTCTTAATCCTTCTGAGCTGTTTTTTAAAGTAAACACATATAGCACTTTAGACTGCAACCAGAGTGGTTGCTGCTTTAGCTGGGCTACCATCCTGTTTACGTTGCTGATTCTCCCACATTTACTTTGTTGGGCTATCACAGTTTTGTGAATTTGTGCGCTCAATTTAAAGTCTTGTCGATAAAATTTTTGGAGGCCCTGGAAGCTTCTCCGTTGGGTTTACCGAGTCTCCAAAGGAATTTTTTAAGTGGACTTTACGCTGAAATTAGGTTCTTAGGTCCTTTACCTTTCCTAATTCGTACAGTGCAGCTTTATGCGACCAACTCTCACCTTCAAGTTTCTCTAAAGAAACGAGAGAAAAGAAACTGATATTTTGAAAGCTCATGATTCAGCCGTTGAGTTTGAGTTAATGAACACTACGTGTTGTTTAATATTTCTGATGTATCGACAACAGTTGATGTATAATATTTCTTATCTGTATATTTCTGATGCAGTTTTTTGATGTATCGACAACAGTTGATCCGAGTTATATAATATCGCTGATAAGAAAGCTTCTGCCTTCTGGTCCTGGTACTAATAGTAATTGTGATGGAGTTGCTTCTGATGCCCCAAACCAAGGATCGCCTACCTGTACCGAAGGAGGGAATGCAGCCTCCACGTCTAAAGACGAGCATTTTGAATCATCAAAGAAAAAATCTGAGAATATGGATGTTGATAGTTCTGGTGAATTCTCTCATCAGCAAGGAGAACTTAGAGATCTGTGTAATGGACTCGAACAATCTGGTGCCTCAGTGGGAGATGAAGCCTGGGAAGAATATGGTTGCGTTTTGTGGGATCTAGCTGCCAGTAAAATGCATGCAGAACTCATGGTAAATGGGTGTTAGATTTTATGAGTTTCTAGTATGGATGCAATCTACTCAAATAATTAGCTTATTAGAATTAGGATATGGTTGTAACTCATAACATGGTCCTTCAAAACCATTTTAAAGTTCCTTTAAAAGGCAATTTCATTTTTCTTTAAAATGTTTGTCCCCTTTATGATTTGATGCATATTTTTCAACTCACTCTTCTCCATTTATCATCAAGTTTCTAATAAACTGATTACTTTGCATTTCTATTGGTAGAACTTTTTCTATTGACAGTTCAACCATCATCTTACTTCTAACATTACTGTAACTGCACATAGTGTGTCATTGATTGATTTCAGGATTTTTTATTTTAACTGAGCTGAAATAGTGGTGTGGCATAATTTTTTAGGTGGAGAATCTCGTACTCGAAGTTATTTTTGCAAATCTGATGGCTTGCAAATCCCTGCGTGTTACTGTGAGACACTTATCAAAGTTTCTTCCATGAATCGCATTCTTTTTTATTGTATGCTTTTGTATCATGAAAAGAAAATATAATTAAGCAAATTCTAATTCTGTTTCTTTTTCATCATGTTGTCGTTTAATTTCTCCAGGAAATTATGATAGGAATTTGTGGTAATTTAGCCTGTCATGAAGTTCCGATGAAACATTTAGCCTCGACTAATGGACTGATTGAGATAATTGTGGATAAATTGTTTCTGGATGATCCCCAGTGCCTGTGTGAAATATGCCGGTATGGTGTATTTTCAGTACACTTGATTCTTGACAGGCTTGCATACTGCCCAATACTACATTTTTGTCATGTACAACTTGTCTGAGAAAGAAATTGCTTATTTCGTATCTGATGATTCTTTTGCCACCAAGGAAACAGAAGTAGCTAATTCTTGCATATATTATTACTGATTGGCATTTTGAAAATCCAAGCATAGATGCAGTAATCAGACATAAAATTGGCACAATCAACTATTTATTTATTTTTCCTGATTTTTTATGCCACATTTTAAATAAGGCATCACTACTCTCCTTTTTGACCAAGTTATCTTGCCTATACATGCTGTGAAATTATTTTATAGTTGGTTCTGAAAACAGATTGTTAACCGTGGGCCTTCAAAGTGGTGAATCTATCAAATGGTGTGAGGCATTGCAGTCTGAACAGATACTAGGCCGCATCTTATGGATTGTAGAAAATACGTTAAACCCTCAGCTTATAGAGAAGGTGGTGATATCTTTTATGTTTTATTCTTATTGTATGAAATCTGGTAGAGGAAAAATTATCAACCTTACTCAAATGCAGCATGAGTTAGCAACTCTTTCTCATGATATCCTTCCATTGCAGGAATATGCTAAATTGATAGGGTGTCACTTGATTGCCCTTTTTAATTCTTTTTGTGTTGTTGTGTAATTTAGTAGTAGCATCTTATCAATAACTAAGAATATCCTGCTTTTCCACAGAGTATTGGGCTTATTCTGGCTATATTAGAAAGTGGTCAGGAAGTTGTGGATACTCTTCTTCCGCCTATGGTGAAGCTGGGTTTAACAAGTTTATTGATTAGTCTCTTGGATTTTGAGGTGAGCAAACTAATGAGTGAAAGAATGCCTGAAAGGTATGTTGATCAAGAGTTCAACACTTTTTTTTTTTTTTTAATGATCTTCTGCGCTTCCAACATCTTCTGATGCTGATTCTGACATATCTGTAGTTAAAATTCACATTATATAATTATCAATCCGGATAGATATAAATATATATATATACCGAATAAACTAATATCTTACATGGTCAGGTACTCAATTCTGGATTTACTTCTTCGAGTAATTGAAGCCCTTTCTGTTATAGATGATCATTCTCAGGAAATATGTTCAAGTGAAAAGTTATTTGAATTAATCTCTTGTCTCATTAAGTTCCCAGATAAAGTTGAGGTATGGTTTACAGTTGCCATGATTTACTCAAAGATATCACAATTGTTTATGCAGTCTCAGATTCTGGACTTTGTTCTGAACTTTCCAATGACATAGATATTCTGCAAATGCTTTACAAGCTTACTTATTATCAAATAACGGCCCTTTATTCTCTTTGGAGTGAACAGCATGGTTTCTTCTTCTTTCTTTTCTTTCCCTTGAATAGCATCTACTGAACCTATGCTTTTTATTTTTTCTTGGGTTGAAAAGGGGATGAAAATGGTTTCGTTAACTGTATGTATTCTGTAGGTTGCCAGCTGTTGTGTTACTGCTGCAGTTCTTATTGCAAATATTTTGGCCGATGTAACTGATCGAGCTTTTGAGATATCACAGGGTAAATTATGCAACTCTTATCCATAAATTTCAATTTCTCATTATTTTCTTTGTTTCTGGATTGACTGACAAAAATTGTAAATGACATATTTGTACCTACCAGATTTATCTTTTTTAGAAGGTCTGCTTGACATATTCCCTTTTGCTTCGGATGATATGGAAGCAAGAAATGCACTATGGAACATAATTGCAAGGGTATTAGTTAGAATTCGAGAGACTGAGATGAGCCCGTCAAGTGTATATCGTTATGTTTCAGTTCTTGCGGCCAGAGTTGATCTGATTGAAGACGAGCTTCTTAACCAACAGTCAGATGATTCTAGAGATGGGCATGAGAGCTTCCATCCTCCGGGCTCAACAACAGATGCTAGAACTACATCTGTATCCTTTCTTAATATAGTTGCATTTGCTGTTCATAATTATGGGACCCATTTAGATGAAAGGAATTGAAATTCAGTATCGATGTTCAAGAAATTAGATTCCTCACATGAAGATACTGGAGTAAATCACACTCTTCATAATTTTTACGATTGCATGATTAGAAAACCAAATGCCGTTACCTGCTCTAATCGGCTTTGT